AAGGTCTTGACTCGGAGTTGAAGTCAAGGATCATCAGATATGCGTAGCACACAGAAACATCAATATGAGGTATGTTGTGCCGTGGCTTAACAGTAAGCGACGCATATCGCAGGCGGTGCATGACAGATTCCATCAGAATGGCAACGTGGGCGGCTGTTCTTATATATATTTATATATATACCATTTTGGCAAAGTCTAAAAGGTTTTGGCAAAGCACAGACTGGCCTAGTATGAGATTTTAATAAAGATATAACATCACAACAACACAACCGACCGTCATGGAAGAAAGCCGTCTGGATTCATCCTGAAGCAATGCCTCGGAATACAACTGTTGGTGCAGGAAGTAGAAGCTAGCATGAGCAATAGATGTCACTTGGAACCTACTTGGGCACACAATCCAAGGTGTGCATAAGCTTCCTGGCACAGTGAAAAAACACGAACTACTAGAATATCGTGCTCAACGCGAGACCTGCTGCTACACTGCACCTCGACATCTGCATAAACCAACGCAAACTATAGTGGAAGAGATCGTGCATAAGATACTGTATCTCCAGATATGCTTCTGCAATTACTACTATTGGGTTCTTCCAGAAATTGGGGTCTTCCAATGTTGGGTGAGCCAGTTGTGCGCTAATGCACTTGTCAGCTTGACCCAGGAGCAATCGGTGGCTTCATCATGTGGGGCCTTGGGGACTCGAGGCTCATGCTTGATTAAAGAATCCAGGTAATTGGAGCCTTAGTCTTGTGGGTCCAGTGGGTCTCAAGGCTCATGCTTGATTTGGTAACAGGAAAGTTCGAGGCTTGACCTTGTGGGGCTAATGGAACTCGAGGCTCATGTTCCAAGGGAAGACAGGATGTTCCAAGGGTTCCCACCCGCTGACCGGGAGTCCGACAGCGCTTTGGCAGAATTACTGTCGGGAAGCACACTTGCTGACCAGTCATCCTTACTCAGGTGGATGCTGTTTGCTACAGTCTCTCTTTTGCCACTTCCTTCTTGCAATCATCATTGTCTCATCATTTGGCCGACTAAAAAGCAACAGCTTCTTGAGGGTATTTCGGGATGGCCTTTTGTGCAGGTACACAAGGGTGATCAGCCTTTGCACCCCATCAGATTCCGTAGCTGCTTTGTTAGGCACGGTCCGAAATCTGATGCCGTGCCCCGCTGCTGATGTAATAGCAGAATCCTCAAAGACTACATCCTTTGAAACAGGAGTTGCACACACAGACAAACACAAAAAAAAATGTAGGTAGCGTGAGGGGCTGCACATCTATGCATGTATGAATATATATATATATATATATATATATATATATATATATATATATACATGTGTATATATATATGTATATATTCATATTTATACATATGGTGTATATATATATGTATACATATGCACACACACACACACACCTGAGACTATGCTTATGCTTAGTAGTACGGACAACTTCCATCGAAATGTTAATTCTCTTGTCGGATTGTAGTACGGGTTCACGAACACCCAAACACATACCTGCACTCCAGCACGAACCAGTCACCGAGCGCTGCACACGATCATGTCACGAAGTCATCGAATCATCTCTACACTTGTCAGTATCGATCGGGGCGAGTCCGAGCATGTGAGAAACTCGTACCCCGGCCATAGAGTAGCGAAGCTCTGCAGGGCGCTGCTTTGCTGGAAGCAGTTGATGACTGTCGAGAACACGCGTCTCAAGCAAGATGCGCTGAATAATCCCTGACATTCGTGATGCTGCTACTGTGCCTGCTCTCTGTGGTTGGTTCAGGGCATCTTGTGGTGTCTTGCAGGCGATGGTGAAACAATCCTGTGCAGAAACCAATATTGCTGCCACAAGTCACTACAAATCGTCGCGGTGGGTAGGTCAACCAGTTTGCAGGTGTCCCGCAGCAATATCCAGGACTGCACATGCAAAGAGGCATGCTCTAGACGGGAAACCTTTATGGCACCTGGGCACGGCATAATTTCAACCCAAACCAATCAGCACTAAAAGAACTTCCTGTAGCTCTCAATAGGTTCAGGTGCTCTACGCCGCAATACGATCACCTGTGCCTGTGTCGAGCAGTCGGTGGCCAAACTCGACTGTGTTCCATAGAGAACCGCCGAGATTTGTGCACCAACAATGTTGCATGGTCAAGCATGGTTCCGCACGGGCAAGATGCCTTTGCAGCCTGTCCTGACAAATGAGAGTTTCGTGATTGACCTGTCGCTCATGCGAACATTCCCCGCGAGATCAGTATCGTCACTTTCCTGTCATGCAACAACCAGGAGCAGCTGATGTCAGCAACACAAAGATGTGCCAGGCAGACCGTCCCTTGGACACTTCATCCAAAAGCTGATCAGCACCTTAGCTCGAAAGCGGTGCCGTCGGACCACACCCTGGCTGCACTGCTTCAGCAGCAGGCTGCCACGTTTGCCGTTCACAGCGACTACTGCATCGCCACCCTTTACCTCGGACAATGCAAAAGTTGAAAAGTGGCCTTGATGACAGCTGACTTACTGATTTTCTGACTTCTGGCCTGCATTTCAGTCGGTTGGTTCTTGTTCCACTCGTTGACAAGGCCGTCCTTTACTTTCCAGACCTGCCAAAACAAGAACTGAAGAACACGATGCTGAATGTCTCGTGAGCGTCTTTCCTGACTCTGCGAGTCCGATCATCGTCTCCGAACATGCTTGGAAGAATGTCGGAACAAGGCGGAGGGCCTTGAGAACCTTGCCACCAACAACGCTGATGTCTAGACCTGGAGTTGCATTGCAAACTGCGGAACACCTTGCTTCTGGCTTAACTCATGCACACCAGTCCGTTCCCACTATCGTACGAGCCCAATGCCGATTCGTTGATCATCTGGACTTTTCTCGATGACCACCTGTCAGGGGATGCCAGAGAGAAGCAGGAGGCCCTGAACTGCGGCTGTGGACCTCGAACTCTCTGTCGTTGCGAGGGCTTGCCTGCTGACGTTGACGAAGCTCCGGTGCTGTTCTAAGGGACATGAGGCTCCGGCTACAGGATCTCCGAACTTTGCCTGGCAAGGTTACAGAGGCACGGACTCCCACGGACGCAGGTAGCATGTAATCCTTTTCACAAAGTGGCAACGCATCTGTGCCCACCTCATCAGGCACAGCGACCTTTGGCTTGTCGTTCAATCGATCAATGGCAGAATCGACAGCCTGCACCCACTCCAGGTCACAGCATGAGCAAGGATGCCACCGCTTGTCCGAGCAAACCACTAGAATCACTACAACAGGGCAGCAAACGTACCTCGACAGGCTCACCCTGATCAGTGCAGCATCCACACCTCAATTTGTCAATGCTCAAGCAACTCGCCACGAATCGTGAACTTGAAGCAGTAAGAGATGCGCAAGAGCGCCATAGCCTCTGCCTGACCGAACAGTCCAAACAACCCACATGCATCACTCCCGGATGCCCGACCTGTCAAGCTGCAGACACGCTAAGCTGTGGTGCTGGATGTCTTGAGCCGAGGTCCATGGTGCGTGAGATGCATGCGACTGACGAACAATACCACTGCATCACGAAGGACACAGAGAGTGCCCTGAACCGATCTGGCACCTTCCGTGTGAATTGCCTTAACATCTGTTGGCGCACCGCTACATAGATAGTTTTTATCGAACATGTGCTGCTTCGGGCGGCCGTCTTGCACACATATCCGAAAAAAGCGGATCCAGCCGTGCAGGCCAAATCTCGTGAAACGCAGCATGGACTGATGTAACAGTGACACGATTCCGTTGACACCGGACAGACGATCTAGTCTGCGGTGGCCGATCTTGAAACCATGTCAGAAGGCATTATAACAACGTGCTATTCTTCTACTTACGATGACTTTTTTTCACTTAATGGTTTTTCGGTGACAAGGCTTCAAACGGAGAACACATTAGCTGCACGTTGACCACAAGACTTCGCACTGGAACCTTCACTGCCTTTGCGGATGCTCCGAAACCGGTTTGCAAGTCGACGAATCATGTCCAAAGCTATGACTGCATCCACCTTGCCACATAGTTCCGTGGTCGTGCTTCACTGGCAGGTTTTGGCCAGCATGCAAGGACATGTGCCTGCGTGAAACTGACAGTTTCGACATGTTTCGACATACACCTGGAATCTGCGAGGAGCACATCCAGGAAATTACTAGCCTACAAACCAAGCGCACTTGGCGAGCTCGAGCTCGCCGGCGCGAGACCCCTGAATGAATCTTGGAGGAAGACAATAATTAGGAGTAGGAGGATCCCTGCTTAACCATCTTTGTTCCGGGGGAGTCACAGGCTTCTAGCAGAAGACCCGCCGACGGGAACCTGTCACGGGCAGCAATGCCACAATTCTTTCCATCACTCATGCAGCCATGCACTGGCCGAGGTATCCACCGTCAATGGCGGCAAGGTGGAGCCTAGACCGACGGCGCTGAGGGGGGACGAGAAGGAATGAGGCCTGAATGGCTGGTGTCTATCTCACGTTGTCTATCTCTGGCCTCGGCACGCTGCCGGAGCCTGTGACAGGGACGCGTGCAAGGCAGGCACCCATTCAAGGCATACTGTCTTTGTATATCGTTGCATCTAAGACCGTCTGATCAAAACAAAGCACACCCAAAAACTGGATCTTTCGGAAGAGACGACCTGTCTTGCAGCTCCCATGTGCTCACCCTGAGGGGACTCACTAGGTGCATGCACAGGAGTTGGAGAACGTGCGTAGCAGGAGGAGCTGACACGAGCCAACATGGTGCTCGTGTGGCGTAGGCTCACTGCTCAAGCGGAGTTGATTCGTTGAAGAAGCTGAAGCCTTTCTGTTGCATTTGCAACAATAACCTCGTAAATGAAGCATGGTGTTGAGCAGCCCAACATGCTTGTATTCGCCAAATAGCTCTAGTAACCAGCCTACCCCACAAAAGCATCGCTAGCCGCCGCACCACATCCGCTTATCCAAGGCAAAGGGTCTCCGCGATTTGCAATAGTCACTGGTCTTCAAACTCTGGGCCAGTCTTAGGCCTTCATCCGTTCTGGCTCCAGGCTTGAGGTGTCCTCCTGACATCGGCAGGACCCTTGATACAAAAGTGGAGTCACCAGTCAGCCGCACCTCGTCCGGATCCGCGGGCCCATCCCATTGCCAGTGGGGATGCTCATCCTGGCGCTGCGACCAAAGGCGCTTGGGACGCAGCTCCCCGGATCGGAAGCCTCGTCCAAATCCTCATCCACGTCATCGTCCTCGTCGTCGCCTTCCTCCCAGTGGTTGAGATTGGGCGGCACCGACCTCAGGCGCATCTTTCGGCTGGGTGCCTACCAGCCCCCCAGACTACACGCTCAATTCACGAAGCACTCGGACTTCCACGCACGCGCCGCGAGGACGTTTGGCTCGAAGGGCCAGGAATCGATGACGTAGGGATTGCAATGCGAACTGCCACCACCTCGGCTGCACGGCAAAGGTCGGTAGTTCGTAAGGCCAACGGCCACCACTCTTGCACCGCTGAGCACTGCTGCTGCTGGTTCTCCCGGTTCCAACATCCCACCTCGGCTCCAAAGACTTCGCACTCAATCCACAAGGCCCAACGCAAGCCGAAAGCTCCTGTCCTCAGAAGCCGGCACAGGCTCCTCCCTAGCCTCCTCGTCGTCGTAGACAGGCACAGGTGCCAGGAACACTTCGCCTGAGAATCGATGAGGCCTCTGCTGCGACTGTTCTCTTCTGCCTCTCTTCCTCAGGTGGAGACCTGCAGGATGCCGCCTGTCAGTGCAAACAAAAACACTCCGCTGCAGAAAGGCTCAGCTCAGCGGCCTGAGGATTTGCATCCCTTCCTGTGAGATGCGTTCACCTCAGTCTGATGTATCGAAGGCAATGCAAGGCGACGAGCTGGGTTCCACCAAGCGGCTTTGTTGCAGGTACGCGCGTTGACGCTTTGCAATGCTGGCCCACTGCTGCTCCTGCAGCCGAACGCTCCCCAAAAGAGGCAAGGCCGGGGCTCTTTGCTTGGCTCAGTCCTGATGGCGAGCTTCTGCCAATTTTCCAGAAAGCTCCTTCACCTGACACTGCCGTTGGGATCATCATCGGCGCATGTATCGTGTTCCCGCCTGGCTCTGAAGCCTCACAATGGTTTCTGCCTCCGGGTGAAACAGGGATGAAATGGGATGTCTTCAACGTAGCTGAAAGTCGGAGCTCAAGGCATGCGTCTCCAACTGCTTCATCAAAAACACATACAAGCGCTTGTGAGATCGGGACCCGGACGCAAGCAAACATGTACATGGATGCACATGCATTGGTGCAGCTTTGAAACATATCTGGGACAGTGAGGCACCGGATGTTCTCTAACTGAGCAAGCAGAATGGTTTTCGCAACAGCTCAAACCCGGCACCAGAACACGTTGCGAGGCAGGTCCACAAAGTGGCATTGAGGACTTCTCTTCATTCATGTGGTGGACCCACTGGTTGCAGGTTGACACCGGCAAGAGTAAGGACAGCTTCTGACTCCTCGGCCTCTCAAGGGCTGAATCTAGGTGCCACATCATAGCCGTTGGGCCGTTGGGGAAACTAGAAACTAGTGCATCGTCGACCCAAGCATGCGTAAAAAGTCTGTGCTAGTACCTTCGCATTATCTTTCAGGGTTCTGCATCATGTCATACCACAACAGTCAAAGTCACCACAAAGTGCACCGGTTCCGCATACTTCGTACGGTTCGTCACTTTATATTCATCATACACGCTGGTTTCGAGGCGCCCGTCGATGCCCTGCGGCACACTCTGATGTAAGGTCTATACTCTGCTCCCGGCAGAGGCTGCGGAGTTCCTCCCTTCCAGTCTTCGCTCCGAGCGGTTTGAGCTGGCGCCGTTCTCGTGAAGTCGATGAGTCGATACCGTTCCGACTGTGACAGCAGTCTTCGAGGTGATCATGTGCTCTGCCGCGCCGCTGCCGCCGTTACTCATGCCTAACATGACAAGCCCAAGCCGTGTGCCACATCAGAAAGACATGGCCGCTTGAGCAGAGCGAACGCTGCGGGGCTGCGGGACATGGCGAAAAGCCGATCGAGCCTGCTCGTGGGGGGTGCGACTTGCATCGCTCAAGCATGCATTCAGCCTGCGTCGAAAGACCGCGCAATCTCACCGATGCTCGCTGCTCGTTGCTCGGCCTCGCGGTTGCCTCGGAGCTCCAGCCACGCTGCGGCCACATTGTGACATGCTTCGAAGATGAAACCGTGACCCTGACCCCCGCATCTGAGCTTCGCACGGCCCGCGCTTCCGCTGTCTGCTGCCAGAGCCTTCGCCATGTCTTGGGACCATCTCCGCGGTGCTGTCATCGCTTGTGCACTTAGGATCAGACTGCTGCCGCGTGTCCCGCAACTGTCGATGCAGCTCCGTCGTCTGCACCTTTGCTTTGCTAAGCAGCGACTCAACAACGCCCAGGGCCCAAGAACAAGAAGCTGACATCTCGTTTTGAGAGGATCCTCTGCAAGGTCACAACGGAGTTGCGCTGTGACTCGTCCTGAGATCAGCGTACCGCTCTTGTATCGAAGCCCCCTCTGTCTCGTTCTCACATGTCGTCCTCGTCTACAAATGCGAGGCATTTCTCTGGAGGATCGAGTACAGCGCATTGCCTGTAAGACGTGAGTCGACCATAAATGCCATTTTCAATCCTACGCAAAGCGCAACCCAAGCCTGTCGGTCGGTCCAAACCTCGGCTACTGAAGGTTTCGGTTACTTCGAAGTGTCTACGCCATCCTTAGGCTCTGGCATCTTTGGCGGACCCACCTTCTGCCACTTCAGACTTCATGCTCTTCCACTAACACTAACTCCTGAAGGTCCTGAAGCCTTGATCCCGGCCTCGTCCCCAATCGGCTCGAGATTTGCAGGAGGTAAAGGCGGCGGAAGGGGCGCCTCTCCCAACGGACAGAGTCGCATTCTCTTGCCCGCTGTTTGAAGTGAAAGCAGCGACTCTGTCTTGAGTCTAAACGTGAAGTCGAAACAGCGCGCGCCTTTCCCAGCTTGTCTGGCGGCAAAGCCACGGATCCGGGCAGTTCCTCAAAGGTGGCGAAGCGCTGCTCCGCTGCTCTTCTCTTCAGTTCTTCGGTCCGGTCTCCTCAGGGTCCCCGCCTCCGCGTCGCGGACCTCGCGGTCCGTGCTGCCGCTGCGGTTGGAGGAGCTCGGCGTCCGCCTGAGCAAAAGGCGAGGCAAATGGGCGAAGGTCTCTACGCCTACACACTCTTCGCTGCAGACGCAGACCCAGTGCCGCACGTGTCGACGGATCCTTTCGACGGCATCTTCGGATGTCCCTGACTTTCAGGATCCTGCAGCCACGCACTTGACAAGTGGTGCTATGTCTGACTTCTATGCGGTCATCCGCCCATCCGCTGCCTCCGAGGAGGAAGGCGCTGCCGACTCGCGCAATGTCGAAACCGGGGCCGCCTCCCGACTCACAAATTTTTGGCGGACACCGAACGAAACCACCCGAAGCCAAGCCGCAGTTTTGGACAGCTTCAGTATGCCATCCACGCGATCTTCCAGCTCCTCCGAAGTATACACCACCAAACAGAGACAGTGACGAAAGTCATTTGCCGTCAGGAGTTAATCTAAGACCGTGCGGATCACAGATGAAAAAAGAAGGCCCACCAACCCGAAATCACCCCTACAAAGGTCTGGAAGAGACAAGTGACACAACCAACCAGAATCCGCCACTCGTCGCTGGGATTTCGGGTCTGCTGCACCTCTGTACACGTCTGCCCCCGTCTGTGCTCGGGTGGTGCTTCTGCCAGATGTCTTCGTAGTCTCATAGTATCTGAGACTCGTTGCAGGAACCGCTCCTTCATCGTCGCGCCCTGCTGCGCCTCTGACTCAAGGACCGTCCTTAATCGTGGCTTACTCATCTGTGCACTTCTGGCCACAGCACCATCAAGCTCTTTCGGCCGAGAGAAACTCGAGCTCAGCAACACGTATGCACGACATGCGGAGCTCAGGCGAGATCCGAATCTTGTCAGAAAGGTGGGCAATGTCTTGACTCAGTGCATTGCTGGCTGCCTTGGTTGCCAGAGCCCGGTGCCCAGTTGTCGGCTTGCTGTTCGCAAACCCGGGCCGCTGCGGGATCTGCGGTGCCCTTTTCAATGTCTTTGGCAGCATCTGTGCCTGCTCAGACAAGGACTTATCGCTCTTGAACTCGTGTTAGGATGCCTCGATTGCTATCTTGACTGCAGCAGGCACCCCTGGTCGCTGCAGTCTTGCATGGTTGCACGGCATTTCTCTTCTGAAGCCTTTGCCTCAGCAGAGCGAAGTCAAGATTCGACACCACTGCTTGGATGCAGATGCTTCTGCAAGCCGCTCACGGTCCAGCTGTCGTTGGGAACCGTGATAGCATGTGATAGCATGTGGCGCGAAACCAATTGACATTAACATGGTATTTGTACCGTCTTGGGGCACTTGACACGTCGCATGGCCGTGCTTTGAGGCGATCACGCCACGTGCTGCTGCACCAAAGCAGCCGTCAGCAGTGCAAGAACCTCGCAAAACAGCAATCATCAAACCGTCTCAGGTACCCTTGCCTGAGACCGGGACTCCGCCAACAAAAAAGGCCAGGAGATGAGTTCCGTCGAAGCTATCGCATGACCTGCATGCAGCTTACAACAACAGATGTGTGGAGCATCTCAAGCACTGGGGCTTCGGCATGCTGCGCTAGAACTGCTATTCCAAAGCCTGCGGGAAACACGAAAGCAGAGTAGTGCAGAGCGGAGAGGAGCCATTGGCAACCGAGGTCTGGGCGATGCTCCCACAAGGCAGCGGCCCATCCGCTCTACTCTACCATCTTCGCTTGGGGGCCCCCTGCACAAATCTGGCGGCGGAGAGTTTTGTTCAAGGACCTCTCCTCTCCGATCGCGAGTACAGTCCGCTTCAGTCTTGAGAGCTCCATGGCTATGGACGCTCTTTATCACACACGGCACAGGTGCAAAGGTCAAGCGAAGTACAGGAAGATCGGGAGCCACATGCCGTAGACCTGGAAGCATCAGCTGCAGAAAGCAAGCTGCATGCTTCAAGACGCTGCAAGACGCTGCAAGCTGCTGAAAGTCGCATACTGGGTGCAGGACAAGGCCCCTTGCCTCCGATTTGGTGCCGGTCTCAAGCAACGACGAACTCTTCGTGACATTGCTGCCCTGCTCCTTGGACGGAGCGGCCATCCGACTAGTCTACCCCGCGGCATCTGTGAGTCGATGCTGCTCCTCATCATCGGACTCTTCATCGCCACCGCCTCGCAACATGAGGCATGAACACAGCCTCGCCCCTTCTGCCTGAGCGAGTAGTGTGAGATGATGTGAGATGTCTAGAGAAGATGCCATTTAATGAAATACGGCCTGTTGACGGTGAAGCAAACGCTTCCGGCTTCTTGGGTATAGGTACTGTGAAGGTGCCTCCTCCCGAGGGACCCCTTGCAGGTTCGCACCAAGTCTGACTTACGAGCTCCAAGAAAGGGTCCTTTCGTCTGTGAGCACAAACTCCCATGGGAATTTCACAGAACCAAGCGTCACCACCAGAACTTCACCCCAATTGAAGCTACGCAAGCAAATATTTCTGAAGTTAGCACATCACGCATTTAAAGGCTTCAGCAGCGGCTCTCCTGGAGACAGCAATGACTGCTGGCAGCCTAGACTCAAGCCTGTCAGGCAAAACCAACGGCAGCCGTTCGCACGGATCCCTTCTTAGGTGGTCACAGGTCTGCGAAGAATAGCAATTGGCTATGAGGGGCTGCCACGAGTGTCTAGCACGTTGCTAGTATTACTGGCATACTTCAGAAAGCACGGTAATCAAGAGCCACACCGATCCCTGAAAAATCCTGTCACTATTTCCTACTCGTCGTGTAGCTTGTGCAACACCTGTGACATTTGGAGACGTCAGGCATGGCTAACTGCAACGTGGGTAGCACACCACCATCTCTTACCGGAGACATCTCACAGCCTGGATTGGACATGGTAGGCGGCTCCACATCGTTGGGGGAGACGGCGGCAACCACCGCAATCACTTTCGCCGGAGTGGAGGCATCTGCCCCGACCACTGAGGAGGAACCAGGCACCTGAAGGCAGAAACATCAATAGCGCAGCCTTTGTATTTACACAAGGGTATATAGCACATGGCTGCGACGTCTGATGGCTCCAAGCCCGTTGAAGCCAAGGTCTTTGCAGTTTTTGCAGCTGCAGCGGCGGCTGCAGCAGAGGTCTGGTTGTCTGCGGCACCTGGCACAAGCAATCGCGGCCATGCATGTGGTTGGTCAAAACCGTTTCTGCTGGTCACTCGGTGGAAGCCCTGGCAGCACCTCCTGACCCGTCTCCGTGAAAATCCTTGAGCAGAGGATCACAGAGCGATGAACTACCGGACTACCGTTATCAGAGCGCACAGCACCCCGAGCAGCGGACCACCTTCTTGATCACCCCGGTGCCCTCAGTCAAGGCCGGGTGCAGGCCCTTTGGGTTTGGGCTCCGCGGTGCCTGACTAAATACTCAGCCGAGGCTCCAGGGTTGTTGTGGTCGTCGTCTGAACCATGGCAGTGATACGGCCGACCTTGACACTCCTTTGCAGTCGGGCGACCATTGCAGCAGTTGCGGGTTTCTGGCTCATGAGCCCGGTACAAATCCAGGCCCTCATCCATGATGCAGTTCTGAATTTTGAGGCCAGCTATAGTCAAGTCCTGGCTGGGTCGCAAGTTCTGCGACCGCTACCGCGAGTTCTGATGTTGTGCTTTCACACCCTGTCACATGAACACCACGGCCTGGTCACGAAGCTTCTCTGCAATTTCATCGGGTGTTCTTTCATCGTTCGGCGGAACAGTGATGACAAACCTCGTTTGCTACTGAGGCAGAGATCAAACAGAGAGAGATTGCAAGGAAGCGAGCAAAGAGTTGGGTCATAAAGCCCGTGGCCAGGCAGAGACTTCATTGCTGAAGGCATCCTTGTCATCCAATGGCGTTTCTGGAGGCACCTTCAAAGGCAAACTCAACAGCTGAAATTCAGCATAGAGAAGCTGGTCAGTGTTCGTCACCCTTGCCTCTTCGCCTTCTGCTGGCTGCTGCAGTAAGGATTCGACACGGGTCTGGGCGGCAGTATGACAGCATGCCAAGATGATGGTAGGGATGAAGGCTGCTGCAATCTGTGCCGGCACAAGAACTGCACTCGAGGGCAGAATGCACCATTCCACAAGGTTTGGTCATACTATGACACTCGTGCCAAGCTGAGCCTCACTTGGCACCAAGGACACACGAACGCCTGGCACAAAGCAATACAATCCGAATTGCATCCAAGCACTTGACATCTGAAAAACCGGCAGAAGATCTGCAAGCGAGCCGGGCTTTCTGCTGGTGGGCATGCCTAGGTAGCACACTTGAGTTTGTAAGGCTTGGGCTCAATGAATACCGAAATGAATACTGAATACCTCTATCTGTTGCCACTGCCTCCATCTACTCCTACTTACTCCTTTACTAGGTACTCCACCTCTTCCTCCACCTGCGCTCCTCCCGACTACTGCTGCCGTTGTTACTCCTTCTCGTCATCTTCCTCACACTGCTGCTGATGCGGCTGCTTCTTCTCACCGTCAAAGCAGCACGGAAGCAAAACGTTGCATGCACCTCTGACCGACGACCATCATCGATCCGGTGAATGGTGAGATGTTGAGCCGAGGCCAGCGGAAACAAGCGCTCTTTTGCTGTCCAGCGCTTCCTACAACTCAGTGGCAGGCCACTAAGCTGTGCGATGGCTTGGAGCAGGCCCTGGCAGCACAAGGACGGATCGCACACTGTGCAAGGGCTGCACAGCGATCGTGTGCACCTCTTCAGAGCGGCGGTCTGCAGAGAAGGATTTCGGGTAGTCCGTTACCATCTCAACGACCTCAGGCAGCAAGTTTCTTTATTGCCAGCCATCCTCCATTCCGTTTGAGCGCATGACCCCGGTCACGCGTACTTGTCCAGGAGCTTGATCAAGAACGTTTTCTTCGACCTGCAGAGCATTGGCCCAAGTAAATGCCGGCACTGCCCACCAACTGTCCCAGTATGTCCCCAGTGCCTCCTCCTGGTCTCCGTCAGCTTTCGCAAGAATCTGGATGACCTCGCGATATCGGGGCACGAGGCTCAAGGGCTCAAGCCTGTGGGGACAACGGTGCTCAGAGTCCAAGTCCGAGGCCTTGGTCTGCGCATCGAGGCGACCGGCCGCTTCGAGAAGCAAGTTGTTCCTGACCGTGACTGCCTTGAGGTCCTGCGGCCGCAGCCAGGGCCAGGGAAACTTTCTACTTTAACCCCACCCTGCTCGCTGAAGCTCTGAGACGCAGTTTAGAGCTCGCGCGTGGATCTCTCACGAGCTGGCCGCGGACAGTGCTAGACAGACACATATCACAGGAAGCGCAGTGTGGCCCCGTAGTTTGGTGTTTGAAAGCCAGGGCACGAGGCACTTCCACCTCGTGCCTTGCCTTGCAAGCCTGAACGAAATCGTTGAAATCGAATGCCGAATGGCCTGTTGTCTCGAGTTCTGCTCTTTTTCTCTCCACAAGGGCTCGGCAGCCACCGGGTAGCTGCACATCCTTTCCCCGGGGGGCGGGGGGGAGGCCACCCAGGAATGTAAGGGGCAAAACTCTGTGCATCTCTGCATCTTAGCAAATGCGGACGTCCCGCGCAGACCCTCTTGGGACTTGGACTTGGACTTGGCCTCGCTCAAGAGGGCTCGGTTGCATGGCATGGGTCTTACGGCTTACGGTTTCTTCTGCGGCTTCTTCGTATGCTATCGACTGCCTCTAGGTGCTTCCGTCTATCCACACCTTTCTATGCATCTGCTTGCGTTGGGGCAACTTCGCACTGCCATGCTCAACATTCAACTGCACGGTCCTCTGCCATCATGGCTTGCGCAATCTTTCTGGCTTCCGCTGTCGCCGTCTCTCGGTTTGGCTGCACTGCCCCTACCAGACTGAACCTTGGAAATGCAGCGTGGCAAAGGGACACACGACTGATCGACTTCCTCAAGCATTTATCATCTCGTCTAGCACCATCCTGTGTAATAAGCCCATCACCAGGAATGGACCTGTCAAGACAGCGAAGCTGGAAGTTGCTGGTGACTGCAAGTGTGTGGGGGTCGGCAGTCCCACCTCGCCACTCTTGTTTTGAATCGAGTCGCTGGGAATGTTTCGCTTCGCCTTCCCAGTCAAGAAGGGTGTTTAACAGGCAAGGCCAGGCTGGGGTCTCAACCTGGTCGGCCGCTGCGTCATCTCCAAACTCAGCCTCGTAACGGTAAACCTGTCCAAGGGCAGGTTTACATCACTAAGCGAAAGAGCTGCAAGGCTGCAAGCAACTGCGATCTCACCTGGTCTGGAATGAGAGACGCACGCACACCTGTCGGATTCGTCCGGACGCCGCTAGACCCTTGCATTTCCATTGATGCAGTCAATGCCCCATGCGAGCGAACAGATGCACGCAGGCTGCATCCTGCAAGACAAAACACATCGCGCGCGATATTGCCCGGCCTGGCTTCGCGATCCCAGACAGCTCTGCGAGCAACTGTTCAGTTGCCTCACACACGAGATAGCACACGTGGTACTGCATCAACATGTGTAGAGTCGGGACGGAGGTAGCCACATGCCGTGAGCCTCTTTGGTCTTCAGGTCTTCTGCGAACTTCAGGGGTTCTGGCACAACCATCTTCACCACCTGTCCGACCGAAGCTCAAAGAGACAGGTCTGCAGGGACTGTTCACAGCATATCACCACTCTGCAGATCCAACAGATCCCAACGGGTTGTCCAGACATCTGGGTGAGTTCATACCGCTGAAGCGTGGGAGATATGTCTCAGCACGACACCCCAGTCAATCGGGTGGCATTCGGATTGTTCCATGCCGGCAGCGGTGCACCTGCTCAGCATATGCAGAGATGCAGAGTGCCTGGAAAAGTCAAGCCGGGGCCTGTAGTCGTGTTGACCAACACGGTTGAGTCCCTTGGGTCGCATCTCCATTCTGCCCATAAGGATCTGCTCACTCCGACCACGGTAAACAACGGAAGCAAGCACCGAGTCATCGGCGTTTCCTTGTGCCCATGTGCGTTCACGTATAGTTTGGAGATATTGACGAGTATGAGCACACCTGCACCACTGACCAAATCTGGCCGCAGCAAGACATCCAGGCTGCTTCATTGCTATGGTTGTCCCCATCGCCTACTCGTCGAAGCTTGTTGCGCAGGATACGCCCAGCATGTGTCAGATCCTGCCGCAATGGCCGCGCTTCGAACACGACATCAGTCTATGATGTCGGGCCCGACAAGTACACATGTCCTTCTTGGAAATGTAGTCGAGCACTGCTGTCAGGTTTGTTGAGTTCGGAACGAGCATGCTGAACCTGATGGCTATCACTTGATATTGGAAGGCCATGTCAGGATGAAATGCCCTCTCATGTTTGGCACCTTCGTGCAGCTTCTCCCACTTCTGCGACCAAGACAACATGATGAGACACACCGGATGATGTGCCCGGTTTTTGGTCTGCGAGATCCAAGCACGGAGGAATCAGGGCCCAAACACTTGTTCGCGACCTCTCCACAAACGTCTATCTGGAGGGTTGTTCTCACACACTCTGAAGGATTGGCCCCTTTGCACACCCTCAAGAACAAGGAACAAGCCACAGCTGGATCCGGGCAGACCCATCTGGCATCGCAAGTCTCCTGCCACACTCCCGATCCCTGTCGGCTCAAAATCGAGCTTGACGCCGTGGCATGTCAAGCGATGCCGCAACCCCGCTTTGACGCAGCTCGGGGTCTGATTGGCGTCACTTTGTTCGACAAGCTCCACAAGCTCACTACGAAATGGAGTCCGAGCTCGCCGAAAACTTCCCTTGTCGTACGGGTGCTTGCAGGACCTGTTCCTGGTGTTGGGATACTTTGTTGACGAGTCACTTGAAAGGCCAACATGCCCCGCCAAGGCCTTACGCCCTATGTGTGGGGGCACTGGTGCAAGGCTCATCTTCGGAGACCTCGTGCATCACCGAATCACTGCCTCTGGGCCATGCACCAGTTGACCACATCCCGGGGCTTCATGGCATCCGGCATCATCGACACATGCACACCTTCCCAGCAATGAAAGAGGACTGGACAGGTTCCTGCTGTGGGCAGCGGCCGAGGAGCAGACGTCGCACAGGCAACTCTGCGAACTCGGCCAATGCCTCGCGACTCACCTCGCAGGTAAATCCCACACTCCGAAGAGCCGTTTTGCGACCATAACGGTAGCTGCGTCAGCCCTGCCGCACCTGCTCCACCAAGGGATTCGCCGCGTAGCTCACAGGATCTTCGGTGATGATGTGCATGGCCTCGCTGCTCTCTCACTACACAACCTGCCCCCCGGCGTGGCCGTGTGTAGGCTCAAGACGCCAGTGATTTGAGATGCGTAGCCTTTCCGGATCAACTCCGCCGTTGTGACCTCTCCACCAGCACGAGACTCACAACGATGATATGAGACTTGAAGGATGACCAGCTAAGATGCAGACGCAGTCAGTGCCATTGCAGCCCCCAGTCTGTCACAACACACAAGGTGTAAAGGCGCCCAATCCCTAATCGCGTCTTAAGCGATGGAACACTGCCTCGTGTTTCGGACCGAGGCAGACTTGACCGCCCCGTGCAGCTGGCGTGTCAATGATGCGATAGCGGATGGCCTGGCGCAAAGGCTCAGCCCGGCAGCCCGGCTCAGCATCGAACAGAACTTCTGTCAGCTCGTGGTGCCAATCTGCCAGTGGCACCGTCCCCTCACCACATGGCCGGCTGCATTCGGACCTTGCCGGGCGAGCATGGTCACAATGCCAATGGGCACAGGATGCACCTGCGAGATCCTGCAACATGGTGCACTGACGCAAGCCCCACGCCACTGTTCCCAATCAGCATAACCTGGGACATGGTCACGGTCTGTGAATATGTCCCTTTCATTTCGAAAGTATCAACATCGATACTACTAAGACCTACCATGCGACGCTGCAACAGCAGATCTCTGGTCTTCTCTGGCGAGTAATGTGCTGGCCCGAGGGCCCAGCTGCAGTCTTGGGGACACATCTCCTCATTGCATGTCTTCACATCTCTCGTGGAGCCTCGCCAAGAAGTGCAGGGTCTGCATCTGTCTGGGACGGCTGGCAAGCCGGGACCCTGGCCGAAACACTCTTTTCCACCGTGGGCAGCGGGGGTTGAGATGTTGCGCAGGCGATCCGTGATGCCGGCACCGCAAGATTTCGTGCAAGCCTGCAAAGTGGCATAGTGGCAGTTCAACAAACCGCTTGGCCGGTATCAGCTGTCAGCCCTTGCCTTCCATTCGTTCCAATCGTCCCACACACAATCGATCGGGCAGGGCTTTTGACCACACCTTGGGCAGCACGACACAGTAGCTCGACTAAGCCGTTCTGTGAAGGATGTAAGCAGCATGCAACTTCTTCTGCTCGTCCTGCCAGTCCAAAGTCGAAGGCGATCAGGCGACTGTAGATTTTAGACTTTAGATACATCATGGCTCTTGGAAAGGCTTGAATCTGCTCGCACACATAAACTGGGGGGACTGCATGTGCTGGTGACGACTGTGAAACTTCTATTCAAACGCTCGTACGCAACCTAAGCCAATTTCCATGTGCTCAGACGGCTCCACGGACGACAACGCCAAGGATGACCAGAGTTGAAAACAGTCTGGAAGTCAGGCGGTCCGACCTCTACAAGACCATGATAGATGCGAAAACCCCAACGCCCAACCCATTCCTGTCCTCTCCGTCACAGGGTCTTCCGCCGGCAGATTCCTTTACGAGTCTCTTCCTTGTGCTCGTGGCCTGGTGGATATGGCGAAGGCGGCGAAGCCACAGATCTGCAGAAGGCTCTCCCTTCACTAGGGATCAAACCCACAAAGAGATGTTGCTGCCACAAGTCTGACCTCGGTTCAATTGAAAAGAAGTTACCGCGATCATAGACGACCAACATACATGTGGACACCTAAATTGACGAGTTTGTGATCGTGTCCAATAGGTGCGAACAGCTTTCCCGGCTTTGCGCGAGTCGTACATCTGCAGAAGAGCGTGATGGAACAAGGTGGAATCTAAAAGTCTCGACCCCGCTCCACAGTACATGCGAATCGGAACGGAAACAACCCCGCAAGCGCCTCTGTCGATTGTTCCGGCTGGTTTCTACTCTGTTCGGCGCATTTGCCATGACGCTTGCCCACAGGTAACCTGGTAATGCCTCCACCTCTGCGTCTCCTCCCACTCTGAGGATGATCGGTGTGACGCCCTTGCGTCAATGAGCCTTTGAACGAGCAATGCAGGTCCCACCACAACTACAACGGACTCCAATGGCAACTGCCTGTGACGTCCACTCCTTCTTTCTGCATGCCATCCTCGCGTCCCTTCAAGTTTCACAGCTTGTGGTCAGGAGCTGCAGTAACAGCAGTCCGTGGACTTCGAGCACAGACACACTTTGTATTTCTGTCTGTCTGTCTGTCTGTCCGTCTGTCTGTCTGTCGGGCTGTCTGTCTGTCTGTCTGTCTGTCTGTCTCTGTCTCTGTCTCTGTCTCTGTCTGTCTGTCGGGCTGTCTGTCTGTCTTTCTGTCTGTCTTTCTGTCTGTCTTTCTGCCTGTCTTTCTGCCTGTCTTTCTGCCTGTCTTTGCGTCTGTCTTTCGCTTTCGTCCTGTCTTTCTGTCTGTCTTTCTGTCTATTGTTCTGTCTGTTTTTCTGTCTGTCTGAAGCAAAACGCTTGCTGCAGCTCAACGGACTGCGCTCAAGTGGTCGAACAGACTTGCCCCGAGCCTGTGACACGTGAAAAGGCTCAGTTGGGCTTGGTCACACTCGTGTTCAAGTTCCATTACTGCACAAGCAATAGGCCCTCACTCACGAACTTGCACTAAACCATGAACTCCGTCTCCGGGGCAAACCCGTTCAGTCTGTCTCAGGGGATGTCTTTGCAGACAAACGCATCGGGATGTCCACACTCCCACGAATTGTATTCCTTGGGCGATCTCACTGTCACCCGCATGTCACTTGCATCAGGATTTGCGATCGCGAAGTGCCGAGCGACAAGTAGGTGTGCAGCGAAGCTCAAGTCCGTGTCTTCCTTGCTTCCATGCTTGCTTGCACTTGGCTCCTTCCTTCCTGCCTTGAAGTCTTTGACTCTCTATCTCTCTGTCCCTCTCTGCTCGGTGTGACATCATACAACTTGCTAAGCATGTCCGAGGGTAGAACTGCAGTGAGACCAATGGCTCCAATCGCCCCAGCTGCAGTCCACCGGGCAAACTTTTTCTGTGCAAGGCATCTCCTGCCATCACATTCTGTATCTGGGTTTGGTGCTGCATCCATCTTAACCATGCTCCAGAGCAAATCGCAACCACCCAGCTCCTCTTCCAACGGTTCACTGCACGGTCGGCCACCACCTTCCTGAGAGTGATAGCAGTTAGCAGCTCCCCTTGTTTTCGGAAGCTTACACGCCCGGACTGCCTCTTTGACCAAGATTTTGCGTTCTCGCAGACTTGTGCCGTTGCCACAAGTCACCGAACCTCGGAATACTGCATGCTATACGTCTGTTCTCTCTCTACTTGCAAGTGCTGGGAAGCCGTGCAGGCTTTCCAGTTGCTCCAGTCTGCAAGCACACAATCCTGGGATCGCACATTAAAGACTTGTCCTTGCATCAAGCAATACGGAATTACGTCTTGGCTCCAGGCCGTTGGGCACGCCTGGCATCGCTGTACACATCTTGCAATTGAAAGCAGCGGCATAAAGACTCCAAGGCTGTCAGGCCTTGACGTTGCAGACCTCCTCGTCCTGAGTGGCTCCTTCGCATTTTTTGCCTGGGTTGAGAGCTGGTCATGAAATGAAGGGATGCAGACAAAACTTTCACGCAGCGCACCATCGGCAATGGCAGCTTCTGCTATAGACCTGCTCCGCCTGGCAAAATCCGAAATCTTGGTCAGTTGTGTTGGGGCAATTCGATCCCAATTGTGCCAGCAGGGCAACTTCACTCCACCAGCACAGGTTGTTGAGCACTCACCCCATTTGGTCCAGTCCTCGGTATGTGGAGCAGTTGGCGAAGTCGAATTCTGGGATTCCTTGAGGCAAAGGCTGCCCATGTGCAGTCCCGTGGACATGGGCTGGTGCCACAGTCCTGCCGCTTCAAACCATGGCAACGAAAACCAAAATGGAGAAGAGGGGGGAGTTGCTTGGAACGGGACATCCGAGGGTGACGGTATTCCAAATACCACCAATCATAATAACAGTGACGGCCTGCTCATAAAAACCATGAAAAGAAGAATCCGTTTGAAAATCGCGAGCTCACACGACAGCGCTGCGAGGACACGCAGGCCGAGTGCCGGCAGAGCACAGCACCAAGGGCCGCCATCACTTATGCACCGAAGCTCGGGTAGTCTTGAAGCTGATACACCGGACAACAGCTGGAAGAAAAGTACAGCCTTCGCGAAAGACTTCAACTCTTAATCCTCAAGTCCTATACACCCGAAAACAAACGGAGCCTCGGGGCGAAAGAGAGTCAGCACACCTCCGACCTGCGACCCGAAAATCCACGACACCACACCTCGGGTCTCGCGAGGCCCACCGCTTGGGACATGCGACTCTATAGAATTCGGTTAGGACGGGAAAGCAGGCTGGGACAGCGAAGGACGCGCCATGCCCACACAGCGCAAAGTAAACGATGATGCGTCCTCGACCTGAATGCCTTCTGCCATGTTGCACGGCCTTTGTCAAAACTGCAGCAAAGCATGGTTCAATTGCGATGCAAAATCTCTGAGCATCCGGTTAGGGACTGGGTGCCCGGCTTCCCGAGGCTGTTGTTCTGCACTTTGATGGGCTTACCTCTCTGCCGTGTACCACCGTCACACGATGCCGTGCCTGCAGGAAGGTGTTCGAGAAGAAAGAAATTTTTGTGGGTTGTCGGCTGTCGGCTCTGAGATTGGAGCAGTGGCTCCAATCACTCCAAACACCCCAGCCGCAGTCCACCGGACAATCCACTTCATTGCAGTGGTCGAAGTCCTATGTCACATGGCAAGACTTCCGAGGCGCCTTGAATCTCAAGTGCTCTTCCCCCCTGGAAGAGAAGCAGTACACAAAGGACACGCAAAGGGAGAGAGAGAGAGAGAGAGAGAGAGGGAGAACAACGGACAAGTCATGGACCCTTTTTTGTTGAAACAGGCTCGCTCGTTTCGTCCCGTCACTCAGCCTGTACAACCTGAAGCGCGGGAAGAAACCGTGACCATGCCACGCTCAGTGGGCTGCAATCGGAACAGCCTGCCACATGAATACCTTAGCTTCTCCAGTCTTTGCGAGACGACAAAGAAAATGCTGAGATTCGGACCGGAACGGCCGGCACCCACACAACGCGAGGAGATTGTGGCGGAGTGGACTCGGGTGTTGCAGGCCATAGCTGACTGGCCTCGAAGTCTGCTGACGCCTAGAGACTCCGGTGGCTCAACACGCTGGCACCTCGTCTTGGTGGTCTTCAACCTGCCACTCAACACCTAGGACCTACCCTTCTCGGCATCTTTGGCCTCGCCCACCCAAAGACCCGAGCCTCGGCAACAAGGTCCTCACCAATTGGTAAGCACGGGCATGAAGCCGCCCGGACAAGGGCGTCATCGGAAGCCTGCCAAAGGCTCGCCGGCACGGCATCCGAACATCTGCGGCTGCTAAGCAACAACCCACCTCGTCCTGATTGTCCACCGGGAGTTCACTGACCGGGTCGTCTTCCACTTCCGACGTCCCAATGTCCACTGGAGGTGGCTGACTTGTTTGCATCTCCACCTGACCCAAGTCCTCAATTGCTGCTGTAGAGCTGCACGCAATCTCCACCTCCACCTCTGGTTTTTGTGGAAGCACTAGGAAACTTCATGGTGATTGATAGTGCTCTGCAGGCCTCCGAGCGGTTGGAATTTCTGGTCTGGGCCTTCGTTTTGGCCATTCGCTTCTTGCGCTTCTTCCTGACGGTGTGCCAGCATGAGCCTTGTGGCACTCTGCTCTGCTGGCCTGTTGCGCTTGTCAGGCTCGTCGAACTGTGCCAATCTCAGGCGCATGCAAACTATACACCAGACATGCTGCACGACGTCGCAACTGAGGCAAGTGGTATGAAATGCTGAGATTTGCGCAACTCATCGAGGTCACGAAGATCCTGCAAAAGACATACCATGGCATGACGCTGCTGCGAACTCAGCCAAGGAGCCATATGACAAACTGACAAGTATCGATTAGCCTCCTGCCATTCGGAAGTCTTTGGTGTCTCGGTTTCCCCCACCTCGGCTCTGATAGAATGGTTGTGTGAAAAGCACATGCACTCAGACGCGTGCATTCAATCGGAGAAGCATCACCGAAGCACTGTGGGTGGACCTTGGAACAACTGTCTTCCTTACTTTAGTTTCAACGGACGGCCATTTTATACGATCAACTTGCCTCGTGGCTGTTGTCTGGAAGATCCGGAAAGTCTCCTCCTGGTGAAGGTCCAGGTGAAGTCTCTAATCATCCATGGATGGCATCAGCATCCCGTGCAGTCCGACAAGACTACAGAAACACCATCTTGGTCAAGATACCTCGACCAGCGCCAAAGAGATGGTAGCATGCTGCATGCAGCGACAGCCTATGCGAAGGATTACGAGCTTGGCCTAGACAGCGAGTCAAGGCCGCAGAGATCAGCTGCTGCTGCTTTCACGGCCTCCTTCATGTCTCAGGTCTGATCAGCCTCCGAGAAGCGCCAAGCTGGGAAGCTGGCATAGTCCAGCTCGTCAGGGTTCTTCTCGAACAGCACTCGAAAGATTTGGTCTCCACCTAACATCCGAAACAGTGTTTGGACAAGAAAGCCGTCATCCTTCAACTGCGCACAGAGTCTCGCACTTGTAAGCTTCAGAACAGTGCTCACCATACCGTCAGGATCGAATTGCAGCTTCAAGCGATCTCGCGGATCAAAGTCAACTAGAATCTAGAAGGACAACGCCTTTCAGCCGGCAGGACAACGCCTTACAAAGCCTCACAACAGTTTTGAGCCCAGCAGCAGAACATCGTTAGAGTATGAGTACAACAGGCATAGTGGCACAGTCATTGGGCTCCAGGATGTTCCGGGGGTGGGGGGATGTCTGCATGCAGGGTGGTGAAGTACAGGCATGGTCCTCGGAGGCTCCATCGCACCTGGCAACGTCTTGTTTGATGGATGAACCCTGATGTCCGTGAAACTAGCAGGGCAGCACTCAAGGCCCCCGTGTCGCGGCTGCAACGCCACAGTTCTTTTGCGACCTCAAGGCAGAAAAGAAGACTTGCACAAAGCCAGTCGCATGTTCATGTGGGCAGAATCAGTGTCTGACTCTTCCATCCCTGACCACAACTCTTGGAGCAGTAGGACCACGGACTCCAGTCGTACCACCTTCGGACATCGGCAATGTGAAGCTTCCCGTGGGAAATCTCAGAACAAGCTGCGGCCTGCAGTCTTGCTGTTCACCTGCATGCTGGCTGGATTCGCTGGACTGCGCCTCAGTTCTCGAAATTTTCAACGACGGAACACAACACGAAGATGAACGCCGAGCGCTGGACGAAGGGCGGTTGCGTGACAGTGACATTGAAGAGAACATCGTCGAAGGGCACGGTCTCGGTCTTTTCCTCGTCAAGGCAGCGCACCAGATCGCGGAGCTCAACAACCAGATCTCGTGTGCTGAGCTTCAAGCAAGACCTGCTGCTGGTACCTCCACAGACTCCTCCAGCGAATGTTCCACGGACTGCTGTTGAAAGTCTGCAGTGAACGAAGCTGCCTGTGTCTTCTCTGCACGCATTATTCTTCGGCCTACAGCCGGAGAAGATGCACCACTGCGAAAGACAGCATTCTGAAGCGCTGCAATCTGCACTCAAGGCCGAGACTGACCGCTGCAGCCCCATCCTGGTGCAGGTTTGAAGCAGGCCAGGTTGTGTTCCGACATGGGCACAACGTTTACGAGCTTGAAGTCATCGTCGAGCCAGAACAACACACAGTGTCGGCAAACAAGCAGCACGTGACACCGAATACTCAACAACTGCCATGGCAACCATGGACTTCTGCTGTAGCCTCGTCGCTTAGGGAAGCGTCTTCCCGCGAATCTGCGTCACCTGCAACGGTCCCACATTTCACATCACTAGTCCGCAACCTGGCAAACGCCACCTTTGCTGTGCGATCGCACTGTCGATGCGATGGCGACATTCCACAAGAGCTTGCTGGGCAGCAGAATGCCCAACCAAAGCCTTTTATCCAAACTGTCAGGTGGGAGACACAACTTTCGATGAATGAGCAATGCCTCGCCTTTTGTTGCCGAGCACCATCATGTCATAAAGACAGCCTGGGGGGACAGAACGAATTGACAGGCTCACGCATTTGCTTGATAAGGCTGGCACGGTTGAATGGGTTGAAATACGGAACCACGAGAATGTCTCAAAACACAATGAATTAAACACCCTATCTTCAACAGAGCCGAAAATCCACGAGACATGACATGTCATCACGACTTCGTCTGAAAATCAAATATACGGCAAATGAGCAAGTTTTGCCGAAATAAACAAACTGTTTCGAAACAATTTCAACTTGTGGGGAATATGCAAAACGACTTTGTCACGCCTTTGTTGGTCAACCTGGGGCTTTCGGTTTTATAGGAAACAGCAATATCAAGATGAAACCCGGCTTTCAGCGGTAACACTTGATGCCCACCGACCCGAATCCGCCATGCAAACTTCATCAATACCACCGCTGAACTGACATCGAAATTTGGGAAGTGGTGGATAGCACGAGCTTTGTCACGGGGCTGCCTGCTTGGCATGCGGAGAGACAATCTGGCTTGCTGTACAGAAGACTGGACGAGATCTGACATAAAACCAAGTTTCATGCTGCGACATGCGGAAGGCCACCTGTGCCAAAATCGAAGCTCAGAAACCCTGTCGAATGTTTGGTTGTTTAAGTCTGCAATTCATATTCGAAAACATGTTGGAACCAGCACTGAAGCTTGATTTCCACAACATGAAACACTGCCACGACAAATCTCTGAAAGCGTGCAAGGCTTCTGGACTTGCCGTGTTGAATGTCTTTTTGCTGCAGCTCCTCTCGTGCTTTCTTAACGTTTGGGAAGGAAAACCGCGCACAACGGAAACAAATAAAGATACCAACCCACAAAAACTAGTGTAATGCCTTCATATTTTCTGGTCCAAAAGATGATGGACTATGCGTGCAAATTGCTGGCGTCAACCGTCGTAAAAAAGAATACAAGGCATCGGAAATTATCGATCCATCGAAACCGTTCCTGTACGACCCTCCGGCCTTTTAAGACTGCAGATGTGGTGCGATTGCACACATGAACAACTGTCTCAACCAAGATCTTTTTCTAGATCCCACGTCTTCCTTTGACTCCTTTCCAACTCTGCTAGGCGATTTCAAAAGAAGAACGTATCGCCTTTTCAGTCCACAACTTTTATGTCGGCTCTAAACACTTTGTGCCGTTTTCTTTCGAACCCAAAACATTTTTGGTGTCAAAGTCTGACTTAAAATCTTGTAGCACTTGCGCCAGTCCAGACTGCGACCCTGCCAGCTTGTCTAGAAAAGCCACCAGGGCAAAGTCCACGATTTTGACTTTGAACTCTGCGGCCAAACAATGACTTTACACGCAGAGGTTGGGATCTGATTCGACGGGCGTGGCCTCTTTGCCAGTTTTGCATGTTGTTCTTGCGGACGATTGCACCCACTGTTCGCCAGACAACAGACAGCTCCCGTGTTTTGTTCTTTAGCTTGGTCGTGCGCACTTTCTTTTTGGCGTCCCCGAGTCGAGCGCTAGCTGCGGCGTGCGGACTTAATCAGCACGAGCCGTTCAGCGTAAGAAACCTCGCTCTAAGCGACCTTGAGCAAAAGCAACAGTGGGCCGTCGTCCAAAGCCGTCAAAGACAACGAGTGATCAAAGCTCCGTCAGTCGTTCTAGTCCCGGCGGACAACAGTCGGCAAAGAGTCAACTCAATCGCCTTCTCCGTTCAACATGGCCACAAAAGAGGCCTCCTTCTTCAATGAAAACAAATGCGAGGTCTACGCTTCACTCACTTGACCGAATTTAGACCGCGCCGCAAGTGCAAACTTCTTGCCAGTGTAAGTGCTGCGGAGGCGTCCACGTCCCTCTCACTCCAGTTTCTCGATCAGACGAGGTCAGAAGTTTACCTGGAAATCGTAAAATACTTTCTGTGAGGCTGGTCCCCCTCCCCCGGAATTTAACCCAGGTTCGAACCTGGGTGCTCCCTTCCGGGAAAGAGGCGGAGACAAACGACAACAGCCCAGGGAACCCAGATTTGAAACCTGGGGCAAAGCTGGTTTCGAACCTGGGTTCAACTCTGAGTTAAACCCAGAATTAAACCCAGGTTTTTCAACCCAGATTTGAACCTAGGTACCTGGGTTTAATCCAGGTTTGGAACCTGGGTTTCATGAACCCAGGTTAAACCCAGGTTAAAACCCAGGTTGGCTCAAGGTTAAACCTGGCTCAAGTTCAGTCAGCAGCGACTCTTCGGTAGTTTGCAATCCCCACGTTGTGGAAGGGCAGACTCCGTGTGCTGTCTTGCGTAGCTAGCTTCCTGGTAGAGAGCGCCATTGTTTCCTTGATCTGTGCTGGCCTTTCCTTGATTTTCTTGCGAACTGCTCGGAGCTGAACAGCATTTTCTTGAAACCTTGGGCTTCAGCACTGAACCATGCCTCAGAGATCGTACGTTGTCTGCTGCAACAACTCTTGCCAGAGCTGGCTCTGGACAGACCGCTGTCAGAAGCACACCCATTGCAGCAAATGCAGCACACCTTGGGCCAAGTCCGTAGCTGCAGCTGGACAGAGCATGTCACAGATTGGCCACTGGCCAAGTGTTTGGGAGAGTGCACGCTGGAAGGCCCCTAAAGCGCGTAAGCCGAAAGTGCAGCCGCCACCAGGCCTGGATGGGCGTATACAGTGGCCGGCAAGGGTCCTAGAAGCAGTGAAGGCGCACTGGGATTCCTTTGATAGCAAGTTGCAAGAGACTTTCAGGGCACACGGCGCTCACTGCAAGCCAATGCCCCAGCCTGAGCCAGACTTGAAAGAGGTCTGTAAGCAACACTTGTCGTCCTTGCCAGAAAGCATACAGAGGCTCCTGCAGGAGCCCAAGCAAGAGATCCCGTGTGGGCAGGCGGTGTCAGATTTGAACAGACGCTTCAAAGCTGAAACCAGCTGCTTGAGAGACCTCGTGCAGCAGTCGGTGTCGCTCCAGGCCCGTATCGATAAGGCCAAGCAAACATATGAGGAGCTTTTGCGTAGCATGCAGACTTTGACAGAGCAGTTGAGTGCCAAGCAAGCTGAAGTGGAGGATCTGCAAAAGCAGCTGCAAGTCAAGCTGGGCGAGTTTGACAACAAGGTGGAGCCTCCAGTGGAAGACTCAACACTATTCGAAGCGTTTTTTGATGCTATGTCTAGAGCGGGTGTCCAGCTTGACGCGGAAGCCGAGCAGCGTGTCCGTGCCCAGTTGGCAACCGCGCCAGCCCAAGCAAAGACAGGTGCTCAAGTGCAGCCAGGCATGCATGTGCAACATCAAGGTCTGCCTGATCAGGCAATGCCAAAAGCAGGCGAGGCCGAGGCCCTGCAAGCAGGTCAGGCAGGAAAGAAGGACCGCAGCAGATCCCCACGTGCCAAGGATGGTGCGAGCCAGGGATAGGGATATGGCCAGCGGGGTCCCCATGGGAGTGAGCAGCAGTGGTCTGACTGGTGCATGTTCACCTGCTACAGGGCCGGGCTCCGCTTGGCCACGTCAGCCTTTTTGGAAGGCGCAGTCCCAACGTGAAGACTCAAGTTTTGCTTTGCTTCTCCTGGTTCATGGGGTCACAGGTGTTTTGCAAGCCTTGTGCCAGGGTGTTGACCAAGTGATGGAGCAGCGCTTACAGGTCTTCCGTGCGATCACTTGTTTTACAACTTTTGGTGGGGAGCCAGGTTTTGACAGTTGGCCTCAGGTTGCGAGGGGTTTAGCGGCCGGGGTCTCATCGTCCGAGTGGGGAGATCCATATCAACACATGTCACAGGGGCGTGAATCGTGGGATTTCGAGGTGGGGAGCCTTGATCGGCAGCGCGAGGCCGTAACAGAGGCCAGCCATGAAGCCGATGCAATTCGCGATGCAGAAGGAGAACCCTGGCAAGTGCCGAAGCGTGTTGCCAGGATGCGTGATGCGGCTAAGCCGCTTTTGATCAGGTCGCCCAAAGTTCTTTCATGTGCATGATGATGAACATGGCTGCACGCGAAGCGCTTCACACACCGATTTTCTCCTCCGGATGCATCGTTGAGGTTGGACTGCTGCCGCATTTAGGCAGCCTGTACTGCCCAGAATCTCCGGGCGGGCGGGAGGGCCCATCAACTCGCGACATCACATGAAGCCATGCAAGACATGGCTGCACGCGAAGCGCTTCACACACCGATTTTCTCCTCCGGATGCATCGTTGAGGTTGGACTGCTGCCGCATTTAGGCAGCCTGTACTGCCCAGAATCTCCACTATGCAAACCGGCCATCAGCGAAAAGAAGCCCAGGGGGCATTTGCGAATGCGCTGGTCAAGGAGAAAGAAGAAAAGGAAGGAGGGCGTCGGCCGCAAGGACGGATTTGCGAGAGCTCGAAGACAAACTAGGCAACACTGAAGCAGCTGTCGTCTCCTGCAAGTCGTGCGCCAAAGTGTTTTGGTGTCCGAGACGCATCCTCCATTGCAGCTCCTGAATAGGCACTCCTCTCTTATGAGCTGTCACAGCTCCACCACCGCGAAGAGAGCCAGGAGTCAGTCTGAGGTTCTTGGGCACTTCAAGATCTCGGAGCACCTCATCCCACCGGCGACGATAGACGCCAGCTGAGCCGCCGAAAAGCTTGAGTTCGGGGTCCAAGTCCTGAAAGACAGCAATAATGAAGCTCAGAACATCCTGAGGGGCTTCGACAGTGGCATGTTGAATCCGGGCTCCACGATGACGGGTCTTCGGAGACCTAATGAGAAGATAAAGCTTCCCAGCAGGATCCAAAGCATCCTCGGGCGTCAGTAGGTCCCGCCGGCTTGCAGCGAGCACCTCCCCGATCCTGGCGATCGCGTAGAAGCAGAGCAAAGTGATAGCGGCGTTATAGATCCGGTCATCCATGACAATCAAATATTTGTATCAAGAATAGAAGTCTCGATCAAATATCTCCGACTTGAATCATATAAAGAATTGTTGACCATATATGTTGGTCCAGGCCAAATATGTACAAGCGATAAGAAATTGATGCAGAGACGCTCACACTTCTTTTCACGGCACAGCCGAGAGTCAAGGGGAGTTTTCACGGAAAACACAAGTGCACACGTGTGCACGAGGCACTAAGAGTGCCCCTCCACCTAAGTCGAGGCACCAAGCGTGCCAGCTGATCAGGTCGCACGTGGAGTGCAACGTGACCACAATTCTCCCCCCCAGGGCGGGTTGGGTGGGATCAAAAATTTCTGGCTCGATCTCGAGACAGCTTCGATGGTTGCAGATCCAATCGTGACCAGGTGTCCGTTTTATCGCACGGTTTAAAAATCGTTGCTCGACAGGAGAAACGAAATCATGCAACAGCGATTGAAAGTTGTTAAAAGTCTGGATTGTAAAGCACTACTAAGAGTAGCGCAAAGATTGTCATGGCCCAAAATTTTGCTCCCTACAAAATTTCGTTTGACCTAGGATCTATAAAACATCGACACGCACGCGTGAAGTGATGCTTATAGATCCGGTCATCCATGACAATCAAATATTTGTATCAAGAATAGAAGTCTCGATCAAATATCTCCGACTTGAATCATATAAAGTAAAGAATTGTTGACCATATATGTTGGTCCAGGCCAAATATGTACAAGCGATAAGAAATTGATGCAGAGACGCTCACACTTCTTTTCACGGCACAGCCGAGAGTCAAGGGGAGTTTTCACGGAAAACACAAGTGCACACGTGTGCACGAGGCACTAAGAGTGCCCCTCCACCTAAGTCGAGGCACCAAGCGTGCCAGCTGATCAGGTCGCACGTGGAGTGCAACGTGACCACAATTCTCCCCCCTCTCGACTATGAGTTACGTTGCTTCAAGCGTTTCACCTGTGACAAAGCATGCCGGCGTATCACGAGTGAAAGGTCCAAGGAACGACAATTCGTCCCATCTGCCACGCGACGGTGGGTCTGCGATGTTACTCTGGCTCGGGACACGATGAAACCAGGGCAAGCACGGGCGTGCTTCGTCGGCACCCTCCAGATGAAGGAGAAGGCTCCTCCAAGATGCATCGATCGAGTTCGAGTTGATACAGGCACTCAACACACCGGAATGGTCGACGAAGAATAAGCACCTTTCGCCATCGATGTAACTCGACCATAAGATCCTGGCGAGCACGACCGCGTAAAGCTCGACTTGCCCTATAATGTGTTTCCTGCCCTCGGCCCATTGCTTGACAAGCTTGCTCGGAACCCTGCAGCCGAAAGCCCTGGCCACCCCTTTGCTGGGAATGAAGATGACACCTCCAACGCCTGTGGTGAAGCCGCCCTCACACGGGTCGCATGCGCCATCTGTGAAGTTGAGGACTGGATTCGAAGGCGGGCTCGCAGCAATGGCGCGGGGTCTGCTCGCAAGAAGTCTCGCCCTCAGAACGGCCAAGGCATTCGATTGTGAATCAGTCAGCTGGAGGACACCCCCTTTATCGCCTAGGAGCCTAAGGTCAGCAAGGGCCAGGCGCCCCGTGCGACCGAGCAGCTGAGCATCCGCAAAGCGAAGTTTACCAAGGAGGGAAGGCAGCTCCCTCGTGTCCACCTGGCCTTGTTCGAGGATGCGGCCTACGGACCCCTCGAGCATGGCAGCCCGTTCAGGCTTGTTCGATACGAAGATGTGCCCCATGTCAGGATCAGACGTATCTAGCACAACACCCAAAGTTTCTGCGGTGCATGAGAACGGCTTCTCTTTCTCGGACAAGGAGAAGCCGAACAAGTCCATGAGGGCATGAACCGCATTGTCAGTTCCGCCCGACAAGAAAGAGGGAGTCATCGTCGGGAAGTCGTCGTAGTAGCACGTCACAGCTACCCTCAGATCCCAAAGAACCCTTTGCAAGAATAACGCCACCCTGTTGAACTGCATAACCGAGGCCGAAGCCCCGAAGGGCAGAGTAGGCCTTGACAGCGCGGGAGCCGGGCTCCCGGAGCAGGATAATGGATTTCGACCTTTCCCCAGGGTGCAACGCGAGCTGCTTGTATGCAGCATGAAGGTCATATGTCTTGCAGTGAGGACGAACACGGTCGAGGTCCTTCCACGCAGTATGGACAGGCCCCCTGAGTCTCTCACCCGAGCTGAGTTCCAGATCAAGAAAGCCCGACTTCTTAGCGGCGCGGAAAACTTGCATGCACAGCCAACAGATTTCATCAAGAGCTTTGAGAGTGACGCGTTCAAAGCACCCGAAGCACGCATTCACCGCAGCTTCCGAGAAGTCATCAATGGCACGCCATTTGCCCTGCCAGACTGCAAAACGCCGGCAGGCGTTCCAACCGTCGGGGAACATGCTCCCCAGAGAGTCGACATCGATCGGGCCGTCAAGCCAGCTCTTCCCAGACTTATCGGACTCTTCAAGCGTCATGTTCCAGAGCTCCTCGGCATAGTCATGGTCCTTTTGGCCCTTGACTTTTTCAAGAAGAGTTTCCCTGCGAAGCGGGGCGCTCGACCAAAATTCATCAAGGTCCATCGTGGCAGGCTTAACGTCACTAGCAAAGACCCCCGTGCGCCCTAAGTAACCTGTTAATTTAAAACCGGCGGCAAGGTCGTCGAAGAGAGTGGTGTCAGGCCACGACAATTCTGCAGCAACGCTCTTCATGAGCGCTATACGCTTGTTGCCGAGGACCTTCCGCACACACGGATCCATGGCCGACCTGATTTTCTCTTCTTCGGGCTCAAGCTGTTTGGCAAGGGCACGCCAGTGCTGCAGCTTAAGAAGGCGATGTTTCATCGTGTCGACCGGACCCTTAGTGAGTGTGTCGAACAAGACTCGCAAAAGTTCATCTGGGAGTGACCTGGCGGAATCAAACGGATGCACGACTAGCTTTGCTTCGTTCAAGAAGGCCTGCATGGAACGATACACTCCGAACACGTAGAACTTGTTGCCCTCAGGGAGTCGCGAACCTCCCCTCTCCACTGACTCCCGGAGGAGCTTTGAACCTGCAGGGACGCCGTTCCATGCAGATGACAAGCAATGTTTGGAATTGAGAGTGGGGGCTGCCGCGCTGCCAACGGAAACGGTATAAGCAAATTCAGAAATGATCGGTGGGAACTTTCGCCCCCTTGGCTGCACCTGACCAGCGGCGCGTGCAGCAGAGACCTTTGAAACAGTCAGTCGGTCCGGCGCAATGCCCTGCAAGGTGGCCGACTTGTCCACACAGGAGATGATCCGTTCACAAAGAAGCTTAGGATACCCTGTCTCTGCAGCGGTTGCAAAGGTGCGACCTTGCTTACCCCATGGGAGATGCGAGGAGCAGCCGGGACAGGGTCCCGAAAGGCAGTGCAGGAAGTCAGAATTGGTGAGAAGGGCCGTGGCCTTCTTGCGTTGCGAGCCGTGCCGGCACGAGTCAAATGTGACAAAGGAGTGCCGTTGGACCATTGCGGCCCACTTCGGGAATTGCCAAAGGTAGCTGTGCAACGGGTTCTCAACAGAGAACGGGATATGAGGCATGGATCGAAGCAGCCAGTCGCAGAAGGACTCCATGTTGTCGTAGATGGAGTTGGCACTCTCAACGCGAGCTTGATCTACCTGTGAAAGGCCAGGGAGCCCACGCACATGATGATGCGACCGAAGCGGTTTAGGACCGGGCCCACATTCGCGAGCCCTGCTTGCAGTACTTTGTACTTTGTATGACGCAAACTGTCCAGCAGTCTCGCGCTACGCTACAATGCACAGTGGCATCGGCTCAGAGAGAGAGCAAAAGCAGTGGATCCCACCGGGCTAGCCACATGTGGGCAAACACTGCAGGAGTGGTTTTAAAAACCAACGTCAGCATTAACAAAGGTGAGACAGAGCACAAGTCATCGATCTAACCAGACGTGCTGGACTACTCGATCGTATATACACATCGGTCTGACCAGACGCACTGGACTACTAGACCTTTGTACACATGGCATCGATCTAACCAGACGAACTGGACTACTTGATCGTATATACATCGCGGTCTAACCAGACGAACTGGACTACTAGACCTTTGTACACATGGCATTGGTCTGACCAGACGGACTGGACTACTCGACCGTATGTACATGTACAAAGAAGTCCCATGCTGTGAAAAAGACCGTTGATGAAGCAACACCATCGAAAACAAAGGCGCCATACAGAAGGTTGAAGAGCAGTGGATCGGAAGCGAATAGATAGCATGGCCCACCGGACTGTAAAGGTCATGCAGTCAAAGAAACAGCTGTAGAGGCATCAGACCAAGGTACCATACGTGGCCAGAATGTATAGCCAGTGAAGAACAGTGGTCATAGTAGTAGTGGGATCATCCAGCTGTATGCGACGACATGCCACCGTGTAAAGCTCCTCATAAAAATCCTCCCGATGGGCACCCACTAGCAGTTGTTTGAAATAGCATATGGCACCAGACATGGAAAGCTGATAAACATTGCGGTGTAGCTGCTGAAGGAGCACCTGTTTCCACTCTGCATCTGTACATGGAGCCTGCTCAAAGTAGTAATAAATGCCCCATTCAACAACATCCACGGCTGAAAAACCCCATCGATGCAAAAATTGAGCAAGGTGGTGGGGAGTAAGAAGTTGAGATGCAGGCTGATCGGCCCAGGTATGTAGCATATCCATCGTGATACACGAGATAGGTTCACTGCCTCGGTCTCGAAGACAGTGTGGTACATCATCCAGAGAATCAGATGTTGCCGTAACCAGGACCAATAGCTGCTCTGGTGTGCCACGTGAGCCGCTGCTGGATGCCATACATGCCTGAAAACCGGATGTCGTGCATCGGTTCGGAAGACAGTGTGGTACATCGTCAAGTGAATTGTAAATGCCTCTGGCATTCATCCACTGGGCACGCTGTCTGGACTGATAAATACCGAAAGGCACGTCATGTAGTAAATTGTAGGGCATACAGGCAGCAGCAAGGCTTGG